ACATTGAACAGATGTTTCGATCCATCATGACGGGACAACAGACTATGACGGCAGACATGCAATCGTTCAGGAACTCTATTCGTACGGAAATGGACGGTCTGAAAACATCTCTGGACTCCAGGGTATCGAAAACAGAATCGGCGATCCAGGACCTCACCAATGAAGTTCAGAAGCTCAAGCAGGGGGACGGGCTGTCGGTAGCAAGTGGATCCACGAAGGCGGGTACGGGCAGGCACGATCCTGCTTGGAATCCACGTTATGTTGAGTTCAAGGGATGGGTTTCAAGGGGGGGATGGAGGAACCGTGAGATACGTCAGCGGGAGGCTCTTTCACAGGAGGCACTGACGACGGCGATGAATGGTCTTATTGACTCTAAACAAATTGATGCTACACAGAGGGTGGCACTGGACTTGGATCGGCCGGTTCAGGAGAATACTGGCAGATATTGGCCGTACACGAGGGGTCGGATCTATTTCAAGCCAGGTACATCCTCTGAGATCCTATGGGAAGCGAAACGTGTGTGGGAGAATGACTACAGGCGGGGACTCACTTCATTGCCTCCCAATGTGCGATTTCAAGTTGAATGCCAGCCATGGAAGATAGAACATGTTCGGGCGGTAGGAAGGTTTCAAGCACTATTTTCTGATATCAAGAAAAATGCGACGGCTATTCTTCGAGGTGAGACGGGTCCGCCAATGACATATATGTGGTATATGCCGAATGCTGATGATACTACACAAAAGACATTGATTGCATAATGGGGACCGACAAAAGGATGGAACCTCTATGGTGATAATTTCACACACGTTGAGCCCGATATTAACCAGGTGCAGTTTCTTCAGACACTACGGTGCCCGAATCATTGACGGGGCGGTAGGGCTGCGACAGAGACCGTTGTCGCAACCTGGAATGTGCAGAAAATATCCGACGGTCAAGTACCCAACCTGGTCGCTGCATGTGAAGCCAGGTCAATTCAAATGGTGAGTCTGCAAGAGTGTGGGCATACCAGTGCAAATACTTTTAACAGATGTGGATGGGAGATTCACTATAGCTCCTGCTCCAAGGCGGCGGTTGCATGGTGCAGGGATTGGGCACCACATGTGATTGCTCGACGGAGTGGGGTACGATTTGCGTGTGTCGAATCCAGGGGTGCTCTAGTTACATCAGTGTATCTACCATGCGTGATGCGTGATGTTGACCACTTGGGGGAATACTTAGATGTACTTACTAAGTGCAGTGTTATTATGTTTCAAACTACACAGGCTGGAGTCATACCATGGGTGGGGATGGATGCTCAGACGGAACTTGAACCAGATATGCTTGGAATGACGGGAGGAGGTCTTATGCAGGTTGACGGGGGGAGGGAGGAGGCGAACTACCATGCAGAGAGGAGGGACATGCTTATGAGGTTCATGAGTACTTGGGGGATCTGTGCGGCGAACACATATGGAGATCGACGTATCACACATATACCGTACTGTTCCACACATGTGCAGCGTGTGCTTGACTATATTCTCATCCCTACACGTTGGTGCGCGGATGAGGCAAGAGCTCACCAGGAAATGAGATGCCAGGTCCAGTTTGTGGAACCCATCAAAGCTACGCCAGGTATACGTGCAAAAGCCAGTGCCTATAGTGATCACGCTCTGGTCTGGGTAAATCTCAAGACTACGGAGATCAGGCGCCCAGCTTTGCCACCCCGCCCTGTGTCCATGGTTGGCTGGCAGCCGACGGATGACACGGCGAGGAACATGTTTCGTGTGCTTGCGGATGTGTCGATTGAGGGGCTTGCATCGGACACGGTAGGGACGGACCTGCAGCAGGTCGGACGGGTACTCTTGGAGACGGCAAAGCTTGTGGACCACACTAAGGGGCGCCCCAACTGCAAACCTATTCAGAGGCCCAGGGAGCTCATAGAGGTGGAGTCTGCCATCAGGCGTGGGGCCCTTGGGAATACTCGTAAACAACTGCTGCGTAGGAGGAAGACCCTTAGGAGACAGCATAGGAGGAACCAACTCCTGCAGGACCACAGGGGATCCAGTAAGACCTCACGGTGTATCCTCAAGGAGCTGGAGTGTGAGGGTGTGCTGACAATGGACAGGACTAGGTGGAGTACGGAGATCACTAGGTATGCGACGGCGTCTTACACGAACTCGGAGGAGGAAAAACGGACTTTGGAGGCCTTTCAGGAACTCAGACACAACGACCGTGGGGTGGAGGGAAGAGTCATCACGATGGGCATGCTCATGCAGGCTCGTGCGTCTTTGAAGCCTGGCACGGCACCCGGTAGCGATGGAGTCGTTGCTGAGGTCATTCGTGAGTTGCCGTGGAGGAGCCTCTTGTTTGTGCGGCGTGCTTTCCAGAGGATTTTCGAGCAGGGAGCCTCCAGCCCTGGGACGTGGAGGCAGCTCAGTATCCAACTTGTGCCGAAGATGCGGGATGCTACACGGCTCTCCAACACCAGAGGGATTTGCCTGATCAGTGTGATGAGTAAATGGTACATGGCATGTGTGCTGCAGTTTATTGATGCATTTCCTGTGAACCGACGGTTGTGCACATACGGATTTGAGAAGGATCAGAAGGTTACTAACGTCACGGCACCACTATCGCATCTTACTAGACATGCAGATGTGTGGGGGAAGGCGGAGTCTATGCACGTGGGAGTCTTGGACATACACAAAGCATTCGATAATGTCACACTGCGCACTATCATCAAGGCCATGCTGTACCTTAAGTACCGTGTTTGCCTCATAAGAGCCATTGTGGAGCCCATGCTGGATAACATTGCTACCTTTGAGTTTCAGAACGTGTGCGGCGATGAGGTGAGATACAATGCATCGGTCCGAACGGGAGGTAAGGAGGGACCTATACTTTTCAATATTGTCTTGGAGGCCATCTGGGGATCTGTGATTCAGACTTGGGATACCTTAGGATACGGTGTCCGACTGGAAGGGGAGGGGACGGACGGTGCTCTTGTACACCACTTCGTGTGGGCGGACAATGTTACGCTCTGTGCTGCATCGCAACTCCAGCAACAACAGATGATCGGTATGATGACGGTAACACTCAGACGGGCAGGGATTGACTGGAAGGAGGATTCTTTGGCGTATGTACTTTTTGGCCAGACGTACACATGTGGCGATCCGCCGCTGCTCTGCCCGCTCTCGCCAGCCATCTGTGCGATTTCTGGAGATGAGGATCTCCCAGAGCACTTGCGCTCGACTGTCGTGATGCCGAGGAAGGAGGAGGTGGAGGTACTAGGAGTGAAGCTCAGTTCGGAAATCAAAGGATATCACGGCTTGTATCATCGACTGGAGAAAGGGAGGAAGGCCTATTTTGCTGACGTCCAGTTTTATCGCTCCAGATCGGTCTCACTCAAAGAGAAGTTTCGCAGGTATGCCGCTCGTGTGCAGTCTGTGGTGTACCACGGATGTATAGGCTGGCCGTGCAATCTACGACTGCTGGAGAGGATTAAGGTCTGGGAGGGGAGGTGTCTCAACGGTATGCGAGGATTACACAAGAGGGAGGAGGAGACGTGGGAGGAGTTCAGGGACAGGACCACACCGAAGTCATACGAGCTATTCTTGCAGGCTGGCCACTGCAGTCTCCTAGAGAAGGTGGTCCGAGCCAATTTCGAGTTTGCGTTGGAGCTGGCCCAGTTTCATGATCGGGCCTTCGCCTCCACGGACATGCGTGGAGCACGAGCCTGGCGTCAGACGCTTCAGGCCATGTTACACTGTGCGGGGGAATGGTCACTACGGAGGGACACACTTGTATCCATGTTCACGGGGGCCAGGAGGAGGGAAGGTACGAGGAGAGTGGGAGGGAGAGCGCATGCAAGCACTGACAGCTGGCATTGTCTTATGCTGGCGGCGAGTGGTAATTTACGCTGGTTCAGCATCAAGTGGAATGCGACGGACTGGTGGAATGCAGTTGCGTGCATGACAAAAATACAGCCTCGATGGGAGCCCATCTTCAGGAAACCGCCCTGTGCTCCTTGTCCTGTGGATACGTGGGACTCCCCTGAGGACTCCGACAGGCTCGCTCGTAGGATTGCCCACGGATATAACAACGAAGCTGTCTGGCAGGAGGGCTCGGAGAGCTCATTGTTGGTTGAAATGACTGGTGATAGTATGTGTGTTGTGAACTGGGCCCGAGGGATCTGGGAATGCCGTGATCGTTCGTACCGCAGGAGAGTGCATGGTCTACAAAACGATATGAGTCAACTTGCTGAGGATTACGACATCAGATGTGCCCCTGTAGGGACGGATCCGTGGAAGCATATCTACAGAGAGTTCAATTGTGTTGCGGATGAGTTGACTTGGGAGGCGAGGAGGGGAAGGACGGGAAGATGGATTGACTTCAGATATTTGCGACAACAGAGACATTGTATCAAACGTATCCGTGGAGGATGGGACGGTGGCGTGAGTGTTGAAGGCTCTGCTCTAGGTTGCTATGTGGAGGTCTCATTTGGGGGCAACCGCTGGCGACGAGTTTTCCAGGAGGCTTCTTTACTCCCTCTGGGGGCCACTGTTACAGATAGCGAGCTCACAGCTTGTGAACGCCTGCTACAAGGCGTTCGGCATATTATCTCTGAGATCCTCGGGCCTCCAACCCCAAAGAGGTTGAGAGGGCGTGAGGGACCCTAGGGGCTCTGCACGGCTAGGGCGCACGCGCCCTGTGTAGCCGACCCCGACACCCAACCAAGTGGCAAGAAAGCTCTACGAGTCTCCCGACGGTAAGAAAGGTTGACGGTTTACCGCCGGCCCCAGTGTGCAGCAGCGTGGCGTCTGGCCCTGTGGGCTCCTTGCCTGGCCACCGTGGAGTGCCGGCAGGGCCGTCTGGGCTGTGCAGCAGGTGCTTAACCCCCTGGATGGTGATGTACCTAGCGGGCTTTGGTAGCAGCGGGTTGCTCTTGGTGCAGATCTTGGGGTCCAGGAGGTCTCCCCCTGGCCGTTCAGCCAGTCTCCGTCCGGGTTCAGCTCCTAGAAGTGCTTGACTCCGTGGGCCACGCGGCGTGCCGGCGGCAACTGAATGCTCGCCAGGCAGCGCGCGAGACGGCCACGGCAGGCGATCAGCACCTTCCTGGTCCTCGAGATGGCGCCCCCATGCTCTGTGCACAGGAGGTCGAGCGAAGTTAGCGTGTAGCCCAGCTGCTTGAGAGATCGTTCGAGCTTCTGAACGACGAGTCCAACCGGCGTGTCGGCGATGCCCGCGCTGGGGCGGTCTTGTCCCACGCGGGCGGGGAGGGCCTCGGTTTCGAAGCCCCGCGGGTCCAGGGTCAGTGACGTGAGCACCCAGGGTGGCCCGCCTCACGCCTTCCGAGCTTCCCGAAATCGTCTCGATATCCTTGGAGTAGCGCTCAGCTCGACGCCGGTCTGGCCGGTCAAGGGGAGGCTTGCCTTCGGCGCGGCTGGCGTGCGCAAGGCTCGATGCCGCAGGGCCGCCTCGGCCAGCGGCCCCGTCTCGCCGGGGATCGGGGGAGCTTGTCCTGGGCGTCCTTAGCGATGACGCCCCAGGCGGCAGGGTGCTCCAGCCGGTGCCAGCCTGCCCTCGCGAGCTCGCTGTGCACCTTCTTCACCTCCTCCAGCCGCGACCTGACGTTCGCGTTGTCCGTCACGTAGAACACGAGTTCGTCCTTCCACAGATGTCCCCGCCATGCGGCCAGCGCCGCCAGCGCCAGCAGCTGCGCAACCGAGATGATCCATTCGTCCTCCGAACTCGGTCCGGTCACTGTGTTACTGAGCTGCTCCAGCAGCGGCCTCGCCGCTGTGGCTCAGTACGGAGATGGGCCGGCGGCGAGACTCTCGCTCGCACGGCCCCAGTCGACGGCTCCGATCGCATCCAGAGTTGCGTCGCCTCTGGTCCAGCGGGTCCGGCGTGCCTCCCCGGCAACGCCATCAGCTCGCGGGGGGTCAGCGCTTGGCTGAAGCCTGCTTGGAAGGACGTGCTCCAAGCTTCCGGCGCGTCGAACATCACCCGGAAAAGCTCCAGAGTGCGGTCCCACTCCCCCCGCGCGGCCGCCACGGTGTCTGGGTCGCCCTTGGGACTCGCCCAGGCGGAGCCCTCGGCTACATGCCCCAGGAGCTTGTCGAGGACTGGAAGCTCAGGGCGGATCGCAGGCTGCGCGGAACTCCAGTGCTGCGCGCACCCCCTCAGCTCCTGCACGAGCTTCGTGGGGGCGCGCCGTGACCCGTGGGCCAGCTCCGGCAGTGCGAGTAGGTACTGCGCCTTGATGCACTTCTGCTCGGGGAGGCGCGTCGTCTTCTTGCTGAAGTTCATGTGCAGCCCCCGCGCCAGCTACTCGGGTGCGAACTCACCCTCCTCAGCGAGCTTGTCGGTTGACCGCCTGAGGTCCCCAGACGCGCCGCATGGCCCGGTCGAGCTCGTCCTCCGAAAGCCAGGGGCGGAGGCCCGCCAGGGGCTCGAGCGCCACCCTGTCGTTCATGAGCCACTTGCTCGCGAAGCTGATCTCGTCGTTGACGGAGGGCGTGGGGGGCCGATGGCGCTCGTGCTCCTTCTTCGCGGCCCAGGCGAACGCCATGTACTCTCCCGGGCTGCCCGACCAGCCGATCACCAGCACGGAGTGGATCATCGCGACCTTCCCTCCAATGCCGACGGCGTCTCCTGGCAGAGATGCCCCGAACTCCGGGGCGGCGGCCGGCTCGAGGTGGTGCCGCTTGAAGGCCCGCGCGACATCCCGCTTCGCACACAGCTGCGGCACTCCGGGATGGCGGGCCTCACACCACAGCGACAGCCTGGCGAGCCCACGGTGGAGTGGCTGCTTCGCCGGCGGGTGCTGCTCCTTAGGACTGTCCACGTTGGCGCACCTCATGTCGTGGATCGGCCGGCCCTCCGAGGAGATCGTCCTGTCGGGGTTCTGCTTGGGGGCGCGTCTGGAGGGCGACTCGATGACGGCGGACGCCTCGAGTATGTCATTGACGTCGTCGGAGGCCCAGATCACGGCGCCGAAACGAGAGTCCTTCCAGCACTTCTCAAACATCTCCCCCGCGTGGTCCACGTTCGAGGAGTGTGACTTACGAACCTCGCGTGTCCTCGGGGTGACCCTCCGAGAGGGCACGCCGCTCTCTTCCATGGCGCGCAGGTAGCGCCCGTGTTCGGGGCTCAGCGCAGCCTGGAGGTCGGCGCTCAAGACACCCTCCAAGTGGTTCCCGTGCAGCTTCTCATGGGCTGCCTTCAGGAGCCTGGCGGCCTCCTCCACAGAGCCCGTCGCGCGCAGTAGCCTGTTGCCCCGCTCCACGACCTCCTTCACAAGCTCGGGCCAGTACTCGGGGTGCGAGGCGCACCAGGCGACATGCTGGGCCGCCTCCGCCTGGCCGCGCGTCGGGGCGGCGGCCGGCGTCTCGTCCAGCGGTGGCCCCCCGCAGCGTGCATCTGTGTCTGGCGGCGGCGGGGCCTGCCGGCTGCCAGCGGGCCTCGCCTTCTGCGCCGGTGGTGGTCTCTGTGGCGGCGGCGTCGCGCTAGGGCGCGAGGGCTGGGGCAGCGCTCCTTCCTGGCTGCTGAGCTGCACGCTCCGCATGCTCTTCGCCTGCGCCTGCGGCTTCGGGCGTGCCAGCGCGCTCCCGCTGGGTGCGCTGCCTGGGGAGGGCCCTCGCTTCTTCGGCTGGGGGGCGAGCCGTCGAGCTGCGGTGCTGGCCCCGCCGGTGTACGGCGGATCGAGGATCTCGCAATCGCTGGGCTCCTCGTCGTCGTAGGATTCGTCGTTGGCGCTGGGCTGCGCCGGCGGCTCCTCTCGAAGGAGGGGCGCCAGGCGGTCGCCTTCTGGGATGCCCAGGGACGCCTCGAGCTTCATCAGCATCGTCACGAACTCGTTGCGGATCCGCACCTGCTCGTTGCGGGTCCAGCTGGCTCCTCGGGGGAGCCCCTCGTCCATCTTCGTGATCGATCCCGAGCGCAAGCAGCTCGCGCGCTGACGTCCTCATCTCGGCGGGGGGCGTGCGCCCGGCCAAGATGTCCCTCGCGTAGTTGTTCAGCATGGTCTCCGCCCCGTGGCAGTCGTCCTCGCCCTCCAGGATGAGCGAAGCCATCGGTTTGCTCGTCTCCCATGAGGGCGTCAGCTCTCCTCCGAGGGAGCACGCTCCTGGCTGGCTTCGCTCTCTTCGTGCTGGTCGGTCTCCCTCTCCCTGCGGAGCCGAGCGGCTCGTCGTGCTCGCATCTCGTTGAGCTTGATCTCCAGCCTCTGCACGTCCCTGGCCTCGCGCTCCAGGTCGCCCTCGTCCCGGGCACGCGCCGCCTCCAGCTCAGCTCGGATCTTGTGGAGCTTGGCGCTGTCGCCTGAGCTGGACGTCCCTCCGGCGCCCGGGGTGTTGGTCTCGCCGGCTGCTGCGGAGGCTGTGGCGGCGGCCGCGACGCTGCTGAACGTGGGCTTGGTCAGGGAGCTCCGGCTCATCTTGCGTGAGGCTGCGCGGTCTGCTATCCTGCGCGTGACGCGCCGTTGGGTGCCACGGTCGCCCTCCTCCGACCAGGGAGCCTGGGGGTTCTCCTGGTCGCGCGTCCGGCGCGGGGCCCAGCTCGCGAAGTTCTCGGGGTCCTCCGCGCCGATCCAGAGGATGAGGGCGTCGCCGGCCATCACTCTCGTCTCGTCCTCCAGCGGCGGCCCATCTCCGCCTGCTGTCTTCTCATCCTCGGTGTAGAAGAAGATGTGCATCCTGAGGTCGCGGATGAGGTCGTCTCTCACCGGGCGCGAGGTCATCAACATCATCTTGATGGCGATCACCGTGGTGGGCACCGCCGGTACGTCCAACCAGCGGTCGCCCGTCGCCCCTCTGCGGGAGGAGGATGCGAGCTGGTGCCGAAGCGCTACCCTCCTGCTCCTCCTCACGGGACTTCTTGGGGTTTCGGCTCGCTTTCTTCCTCGTCCTCGTCATCGTCCTCCTCGTCTCCGCTGTCGTCCCCGCCTGGTTGGCCTCCTGGGCCCAGAGTGAGCTTGATCTTGCTGCGCCCCGCCTGGCCTCCCTCAGCCTCTCTCTTCGCGGCCTTGTTGCGCTTCCATCCTCCTCTCTTGCGGCCCCTCTTGCCGCGCTTGCCCTCCGGGGCGTCGTCCTTGGCTGCGCCCACTTTCTCGCCGCTGACCTCCCCCGTCTGCATGCGCGCGTCCACCTCCGCATCCGCGCTCGCGCCCTTTGAGCCTCAGCGGGGGTCTGCCGGGTCCTCCTTCGCCTCCGTGTCCTCGGTCGCGCCCTTTGAGCGCGAGTCCGCCTGGCCCTTTGAGCCGGGCCCCGGCCTCTGCTGCGGGAAGTGGTCGTCGAAAAAGGAGGGGGGGTCAGCCTGAAGTCGTCGTCGTGCTGTGGTGCGTCTTCCGCCAGGTTTTCGCCGGCTCTCGCCGCCTTCTCTGCCCCCGCATTCTTTTCCGTGCTGAGCGCCTCCAGCTTGTGCTGGAGGATGCTGGGCGGGGAGCCGTGGGCTGCTGCCTTCAGGGCGCAGGCCCACGCCGCACGCAGCCTGGGCGTGTACTGCCCGGCGTGGCGGGTCCTCCGCATCCCGCGTAGCCCAGCGCGGAAACCGAGCGCCTCCAGCTCTCCTCGGCGCTGCTGGCTCAGTGGCGCGGGTGCACCGCTGATGGCCCGCGCGCCGTGGTGAAGCCGCGGGGCTTGGACGCCGAAGGCGACTCGGAAGTGCTCGTCGCGGTCGTTGCCAAAGAAGAGAGCCTGCTGCCCCGCTCTGAGGGGGGGCAGTCGCTGGTCCGTGCTCTTGAACTCCAGGAGCGTCCAGTGGAAATTGTTCGGCGCCATCTTGAGGACAATGTCGTTCAGCGGCCTAGGGCCTGAGGAGCTCCGCACCGAGGGTTGGCCGCCTCCACTCTTTATCGTCGCCGAGGCCCTGTGCTTCGGTCCCGGTCAGCGCGATGCGGCTCAGGATGCTCCGCACCCTCCGGCGCTCCGCCTCGGAGAGGGGGGTCTCGCTCCTGGCGTTGAAGGTGGCAGCCTGCTTGTCGGAGACGTCGTAACCGCGTAAGGCAAGGGGCCCTCGAGGGGGGCGCGTTCGTGGCGACCCGAGCACCTCCTCGCCAGGGCGAGGGCCCAAGGTTACAAACCCTTGCTCACGAGCCCCAAGGGTACAAACCCTTGCTCACGAGCCACATCGTGAGCTTCCGGTACCTCTTGCTCGGCTGATCCGGCGGCGCGAGACCCCACTCGCACATCGCGATCGTGATGCTCTTCGCGCCAGTCCGCTCGATGAGCTGCTTGATCCGCCGGCGGTCCCAGATCTTCGGGTGCCGCCCGTCGCGGCA